GGCTGAAGCTGGGAGCTGGTGCCTTAGCCCGGGTTTCCCAGAGCATGGCAGGGATCCAGCTGCTCCAGCCACGACCGGCTTCCTCCCAGGGTGCTCACTAGCGGGAGGCTGGGGCCAGGAGTGGAACCAGGACCTGAACCCAGGCACTCTGTTAGGGGTGACTGGTATGTGAACCACCAGGCCAAATGCCTACCCCTGCTTTTCCTCTAGTGCCTTTGTCTGGTTTGGGGATCAGGGTAGTGAGGGGTCCACAGAATGAGGTAGGAAGGGTTTCTTCTGCTTCTGTCTTCCGGAAGAGATTGCAAAGGGCTGGGATAATTTCCCCCTGAGAGTTCACTAGCAGAATTTGCCAGTGATCCAGCCCATCCAGCTCTGTTCTCTTATGCAAAGTTATTGATTAAATCATTAAGAGTATTTACTTATTTGAAAGAGTATCAGGGAGGTGGGGGGAGAGAGAGAGACAGACGGACAGAGATCTTTCACCCACTGGTTCACTCCCTCAGATGGTTGCAATGGCCAGGGCTGGGCCAGGCTGAAGCCAGAAGCCAGAAGCCATGAGCCAGGAGCGACTTCTAGGTCTCCCCTGTGGGTGGCATTTTATGCCACTTTCCCAGGCACTTTAGCAGGGAGCTGGGTTAGAAGTGGAACAGCCAGGACTCGAATCATCGCCCATGTGTCCAGTGTCCCAGATGGTGGCTTTACCTACTGCACCACAACACCAGCCTATGTTGATTAAATTATCAATCGATACAGATTTGGTTTCCTTTCATTGCATTGTGCTTTGCAGGTTTTTTCTTTTTGTAACCAACTAAAGATTTATGGTGACCCTGCATGAACACAATATTCCAGCCCCATTTTTTCTGGTGGCATGTGCTCACTTTGACTCACATTTTGATGGTTCTTGCACTATTTCAGACTTTCTCAGTATTTCCGTGTGTGCTGTGGTGGTCCTTGGCCAGTGATAATCGACATTGTTATTGATTGATTGGGACCCTACCATCAGCTGGCCCTTCTTCTGTCTGCCCCTGAGACACAACAACATCAACTTTTGGCCAATTCGTAGCCCTGCATAGAAACTGGTGCTGTGGCGCAGTGGGCAAAACTGCCTGCAGTGCCGGCATCCCACATGTGCACGGTTCGAGACCCAGCTGTTCCACTTCCTATCCAGCTCCCTGCTAATGGCCTGGAAAAGCAGCAGAAGATGGCTGAGTGCTTCGACCCCTGCCACCCATATAGGAGACCTACAAGAAGCTCCGGGCTTGGAACTGGCCCAGCCCTGGCCGTTGTGGCCACTTGGGGAGTGAACCAGTGGATGGAAGACCTCTCTGACTGTCTCTCCCCATCTCTCTCTGTAAATTGTGCATTTCAAATAAATAAATCTTAGAAGCTATGCCGGGTTATTTTTTTCTTTAAGAGTTGCAGGGAAAGGAGGAGTCTTACCCCTCCCACTGTAAATCAGAAGCTAGAAACGGCTCAGCTCAGTGAGGAAGGAGCTTACGGGAAGCTGGAACAGGCCCAGAGCTGGACTCCCAGCACCACGGGGTTTGCCACGTCGTGAACACAGAGGAAAAGTTCTCGGAGGAAATGCAAAGGGCGGCTCTGGCTGAGGTTAATGAGAAGAAAGGCAGTTTTATTGCTGGCCACAGGAAAGCTTCAGTGGTCTGGGTAGAAGAGCAGACCAGCCACATGTGGAACAGGGCCCTAATGGCAACTCCGTGACGGCCGAGAGGTGAGGATGCTGCAGAAGCCAAGTTTGAGGCTAGCAGAGGCTGGCTCACGAGGTTTAAGGAACGAAGCCGCCATCACAGCCTGGAAGGGCGAGGGGAGCCGTGCGGTGGTGGTGGTGGTGGGGCAGCTGCAGCAGGTAGCCTGGAAGACCTGGCCCAGAGGCTGGACGAAGCGGGCCGCGGTGAGCATCAGATATTCACTGCAGGCAGAGCAGCCTTCTGCTGGGCTTCCACAGCCAGAGAGGAAAACTCGGCGCTGGATTCGAAGCTTCCGAGCTTCGAAGGCCAGGCTGATTCTCCCATCTGGGGCCAGTGCAGCTGGCAACAGTAAGCTGGAGCCACATTCACTGTGGAAAATCCTGGGGCCCCAGAGCAGCGAGCGAGGGGCGTGCTGCCTGCACTCTGTGAACGGAGTGGGGCCTGGCCGATGGCGCATCTGCTCATGCGGTGGCTTGCTGAATGCTATAAGCCTGCTGCCAAGAACTAGTGCCCAGAGAAGGAGATTCCTTCCAGGCTGTCGCTGCTCACTGCCCGTGGATCTGGTCACCCCGTGGGCTGCGATGAGATGCGGTGTTCTCACGCCTGCCAACACAGCATCCATTCTGCAGCCCAGGCATCGGGTGTTACTCAGTCGATCTTATTACTGCAGAAATCAGTTTCCTCAGACTTGGCTGCTTAGAGAATGGGTCCTCTGATGGATACAGGGGAGGGAAGTTGAAGAACTTCTAGGAAGGAGTCACAACTCTAGATGCCTTGTAGAACATGTGTGCTTTGTGGGAGGAGGTCAGAATACCACCAGGAACTGAAATTTGGAAGAAGTGGATTCCGCTCTCGTCGATGACCGGGGAGGAGGTGACGGCAGGTGTGTGGGAACAGTGAGAGAACTTCACTGAGACGTGGAGCCTGGCCACACACCTGAACCGCTGCGGGCTCAGGATGAAGCTGTACTGGATGACGAGTTGCTTCTCCTGGGCACGCAGAGAAGAGTAGTTTATTGAGATAGAATCTAGATGCTGTGAACAGTGTTGAGATGATGACAAGGGGGCTGCCGCAGTGGCATAGTGGAAGAAATTGCCATCGCGACACTGGCATCCCACACGGACAACGGCCTGAGACCTGGCCGCTCCACTTCTGATCCAGCTGCCTGCCAATGTACCTGGGAAAGCAGCAGAAGGTTGGCCCAGGTGTTTGGACCCCTGCATCTATGTGGGAGACCTAGAAAAAGCTCCTGGCTTCTGCTTCAGACTGGCTCATCGCTGGCTGTTGTAGCTGTTTGTGGAGTGAATCAGTAGATTAAAGATCTCTCTCTCTCTCTCTCTGGCTCTGGCTCTTTCTCTCCCTCTAACTCTTGCTTTTCAAATAAATGAAATATAAATAAAGAAAAATAAATCTAAAATAAAAAGGCAACAAAGGAGTTAAGCTGTGCCATGCCATGGATGTGGTGTGTCCCTGAGGGTTCCTGTGTTGGAGACTTGGTCCCCAGTGTGGAGATTTTAAGAGGCAGGGTTCAGGTTCACTGGGGTGGGTAAAGCTGTTGTCTGCCATTCTGGCATCCCATATGGGTGCTGGTTTGAGTCCTGGCTGCTCCACTTCCAATCCAGCTCTCTGCTCATGCACCTGGGAAAGCAGCAGAAGATGGCCCTAGTGCTTGGACTCCTGCACCCATGTGGAAGACCCAGAAGAAGCTCCTGGCTGCAGGCAGGCCCAGCTCTGGCTGTTGCAACCACTTGGGGAGTGAACCAGAGGATGGAAGATCTCTCTTTGTCTCTCCCTCTCTCTGTATCTCTGCAACTCTACCTTTAAAAAAAAAAGACTTGGGCTCCTGGCTTTGGCCTGGCTCAGCCTTGGCTGTTGAGGGCATTTGGGGAGTGAACTCCTGGATAGAAGACCTCATTTTCTCTCTGCCTGCCTTTCAAAAACAAACAAACAAACATACAAATACCAAAAATATGGAAACAACAACAACAAACCAGTGCTACAGAGAAATCACTCATGAGAAAAAGGGCAGGTTGATGTGGCAAAGCGTATTGTTGTCTTATTTGAACAAGTGGCTACAGCCACCCCAGCCTTCAGCCACCTGATCAGCCACCAGCTGTCAGTGTTGCGACGTGATGACTTGCTGAAGGCTCGGATGATCACTGGCATGTTTTAGCCGTAATGTATTTAAGTAATAGGTGATTAAGTATGTACACTTTTTTAGACAGAGTGCTATTGTACACTTAATTGACTGAAGTGTAAATGTGACTTTCAGATGCACTGGGAAAATCTGTGTGACTGCTTGATTGCCCTCCTCTGGAACGGGGCCCCAGCTCTCACCGTTGACCTCTTGTGGCTGTGTATTTCTTCTTGAATGGGTTCTGGCAGATTCCATCTTTCAGGAAATGGATCTCCTTTGAATAGGTCATCACTTTTATGGTGATACCTTTTGATGTCTGTGGTATAGGTAGTAATGTCCTCTTTCATTTCTGATGTTAATAATTTGTGATTTCTTTAATTATTATGGGTAGAAATAATTCTATTGATCTTCTCAAAGAACCAGATTTTGGATTTGTTGATTTTTCTCTCCTTGGTTCCTGTATTCAATGTTACTGATTTCTGCTTTAATTTTGATTTCTTCTCATGTGCTTTGGAGTTAAAAATTTCCTCTTCTTTTTATAATTTCCTGAGATGATTGGTTTTAGAGCTGTTTTTCTTTTTAAATACATGCATTCAACGCTATGGATTTCCCTCTAAGTCTTCTTTTGGGATTTCACACAAGTTTTATACACTGTGTTTTCATTTAGTTCAAAGTATTTTAACATTTCTCTCTCTGTTTTTGTTTTTTTTTTTTTTTTTGACAACAGGCAGAGTTAGACAGTGAGAGAGAGAGACAGAGAGAAAGGTCTTCCTTCTGTTGGTTCACCCCCCAGATGGCCGCTACAGCCGGAGCGCTGCACCAATCTGAAGCCAGGAGCCAGGTGCTTCTCCTGGTCTCCCATGGGGTGCAGGGCCCAAGCACCTGGGCCATCCTCCACTGCCCTCCCGGGCCACAGCAGAGAGCTGAACTGGAAGAGGAGCAACCGGGACAGAACCGGCGCCCCAACCGGGACTAGAACCCGTTGTGCCGGCACCACAGGTGGAGGATTAGCCTAGTGAGTCGCGGCGCCGGCCTTAACATTTCTCTTGAGATTTCTTTGTTGAACCATGTATCACTTAGACGTATGCTGCTTAAACTCCAAGTATTTGGGGAATTTTCCAGCCATCTTTGGGCTACTCATTTCCAGTTTAATCTCATTGCCATCAGGAACACCTTATAACATCCATTCTTTTTTTTTTTTTTCCTTAAGATTTATTTATTTGAAAGGCAGAGTTACAGAGAAGCAGAGGCAGAGAGAGAGAGAGAGAGAGAGAGAGAGAGAGAGGTCTTCCATCTGCTGGTTCACTCCCCAAATGGCCGCAGTGGCCAGAGCTGTGCTGATCCAAAGCCAGGAGCCAGGAGCTTCCTCCTAGTCTCCCATGCGGGTGCAGGGGCCCAAGGACTTGGACCATCTTCTGCTGTCCTCCTAGGTCACAGCAGAGAGCTGGATTACAAATGGAGCAGCTAGGACTTGAACCAGCGCCCATATGGGATGCCGGTACTGCAGGCAGCAGTCCCAATTCCCATTCTTTTATACTTGGTTGGTGGTTTTGTAGTGAGGACTTTGGTCTGTGTCGGTGGTCATGCGGCAGTCGCGTGAGACAGGCGATGGGGTCCACCAGTTGGCAGATGGCGTCTTGGAGTTTCACTCTCCTTCCCGAGGGAGCTGCAGTCTCCAGGTGCACCTGTTCTCCCTGCAGCGCTGTCAGTTTCTGCCTCGCTTTCTGTGCCACGCTGTTGTCGGTGCACACTGTCGTGTCGCCTTAGGAAAGTGACCCCTTGTCAACCCTGCTCATTGCCCTCATCCTGCAGCCTGCTCGGTCTGCAGGTCGCGTGGCTGCTGCTACAGTTGGCCTACAGTCGGACAGCTGAGCTCACCCATTTGATGCACTCTGACGATCTTTGTCTTGTCTTCCGTGTATCTAAAACATTGACGTTCGAAGGGACTCTTGATCTCGGTTAACATCTGCCATGTTTATTGCTGTTTGCTGTTCGTTGCCTTTATTGTCTGGTCCTGTTTTTGTCTTTCTCTCTTCTTGTGCCTTTTGTGGCTTTAACCAAGCATTTTAAATAATTCCATTTTCTCCCCTTTCTTAGTGTTATCAATTATTTATTTTTAAAACTTTTTTTTTTAGTGGTTGCCCTCACGTTTGCAATATGCTTTTACAACTAACCCACTTTCAAATAGCCCTGTACTGCTTCACGGCTGGTTTGAGTACCTTTAATCACATATCAGTCTGAACTCCCTCTCGGCCCTCATGGCACTGCTGGGGCTCCTCTCCCCTACACGGAAACCATGATCAGCACGCGTGCTGCCGCTGTTCGTGTTTTGAACAAGCTACTGGCTGTTGGATCCAGTAAGAATAAGGAAACTAAAAGTTTATTTTACCTTCACTTGTTCCTTTTTTAACGATCTCCCTTTCTTTATGAGGGTCTGAGTTTTTGACCTCATGTAATTTTCCTGCTCTCTGAAGGACTTGTTTTGAATTTCATGCAAGCAGTTTCCTACTTATCTGTTTATCTGAGAAAGTCTTTATTTCCTCTTCAAGTTTGAAGGGTAATTTCCTAGGATATAGAATTGTAGGTTGGTGTGGCTTTGTCTGTTTCTCTCTTGGTGTTTGCACAGTTTCTTGTGGGTGAGTTGGATGCGATTCTGATGTGGTTCCTTCCCCTTTAAGGGGTTATTGTCCCCTCTGGTGTCTTTCGGGATGTTTTATCTTTGATTTTCTGCAGTTGACTAGGCTACACCTTGGTCCTTTGCACCCACACTTCTGTGGCTGCCTCTTCCCTTCCCCCTGCCCCCGTCTCTAGTCCCTGCTGCAAGCCTTCAGGGGCCCCCTGTTGCCTGTGAGATCAACTCTGGGGTGGATCCTCACTTGCCACGGAAGCCCCCATGGCCTGCCCCTGCCCCTTCCTCATGGCACAGACCTCGTGGACTGGGTGTCCTCCTTTCCCAGCTGTACCCGTGTAGTGCACTCACACTCCTGGCTCAGACAAACCCCTCTTGATGGGGCTTGTCTTATCTTGCCTCAGTTTAGCACTGGTGTCACACATAGCTTCCTGTCCTGTGCGATTTTAGATGAGAGGTGTGTTCAGGAAAGAGGGGCCCTGGGCACTGTATTAGCAGCTCTTGCTGCTCCTTAGATTAAATCTCTTCCTTCCCCTCTCTTGGCCCTAGTTGTCTTCTGGAGCTAGCTCAAGGCCAGCTTCCACCAGGCAGCCCACCGTGATCACTCCCTCCTTGGAATTCCACCGTTTTTTCCTGGGGGTCAGATGTGTCCCCAAGGTTGGGCTAGGCCTCCCTTACAGCGACACGCTGGTGCAAGGGACAGGATAGTGCTGGAGAGAGGAGATCCTGGGACCTGAGGGAAGAGATTCCAAGCCAGGCTGGGCGGCAAGGCGGGCACCTCTGGGCAGTAGGCTGAGCCAGCAGCCGCCAGCTTCTGGCGTGGACATTGGTGGCAAGAATACGGGGCCTCCTGAGTTCGGGTGACGTGGTGGTGGTCTGATGGTGGAGGTCAGGCTGGTCTTGGGGGTAGTCTGACTGCGGTCAGCTGACCATGGAGGCTGGTCCGATGGTGGTACGGCTGGGCCAGTGGCCTCAGCAGGAGATGAGGAGAGGATTGGGGAGCACAGGAGTTGCAGGGGCTGGGGCTGGGGACTGTCTCCGCAAGAGCTGACAGCTGGCCAAGGCTTGGTGCAGGGCGTCCAGCGTGGCCGAGGGGCCAGATCTTCCCTCTAGAGTGGACAGAGGGCACAGTCAGTCTGCTCATGCTGGTCCACAGAGCTACTCCCTGCCCAGCCAGCTGCCCCATGTGTCCCCATCTCATTGAAGACCCCCAAGCAGGGACTTCTAGCAGGTCATTCCCCCTCTGCTCCTTGACGCCAGGGCTCTGCACATCCCCGATCCCTACCGGCCCGTCACCCTGGTGAGCCGAGCAGGCTCTGCTCCTCCCGGCTGTGCTAGGAACCGTCTTGTCCTGCCAAAGGCCATCTGTGTGTTTGTAATGGCATTGTGGGCCATACACAATGCTCAGCCTGAAAAATCAGCCTGCTGTAGATTAACTGAGGTTCAAGTCCTGCTGGCAATTGCCTTGGCAGGGCCAGAGCAGATGACGTCATGGGCCTGCGCAGCCCGTGGGCTGCATGTTCCCCACCCTCTAGACCATGGGAGCTGCAGGGCTAACATGTGGCCAGCAGCAGGCCCTCCGTGCCTCAGTCTCTGCATCTGTGGGGTGGGGATAACAGCCCCTTCCTTACAGGGCTGTTGTAAGGACCCAGGGGGTGGAAACACTGGAGATGTTCCCCTGCTGGGCTGCACTGAGCCCCGGAGTGGCCACTCCCAGGCCCTGGCCATGTCCTCGCCTGGGTTTGACCCTGCTGGCTTCTTTGTGGCATGGCTTCCTGCACTTCCACCTGCCGGAAGCCGGAGCAGGGCCACGCCCTCTGCAGTGTTCAGGGTGGACAAGGAGGTCACTCTGCAGACCACATTCTGAAGACAGTGAGAGCTGGGGTTTCCTGGTCAGGACACCACGCCCTCACCCTGAGAGCCTGCCTCCCAGCCAAATTCAAGCTCTGAATCCCAGGGTGCTCCCCTACCTTGGGCGGGGTCCCTGCAGGCATCCAGGGCACTCAGCAGTGTCTTTCCCAGGGCCCTTTTTGATATGTTCTGAAAAAGAAACGGAGGCAGGGCTGGATCAGACAGTGATCGCTGGATCTGCATCTGATGGGTGGGACCTGGTGGGCTCCAGGGGCTTTTGTGCAGCCCCCTGGCAACTGGTCAGGCCCTTTCCCATCTCTTCCTGGCCCCCTCCCCAGGCTGGCCACAATGGGCTTCTCAGAGCCACTTGGTGGGTGCAAGGTGTTGTGTGCATTGCCTGTCAAAGGTCCCAGGCACTCCGCGGGTTCTGCACCCGAGGATTCATCCAGCACAGGTGAGAAGTATTTGGGGGAGGGGGAAGCCCTGCCATGTGCCGTATTAGTTATGGTGACACGTTTTGACGTGGCCATCATCCTTGAGTTCCTAGGATAAATCCAGCTGGGGCATGCTACATTTCTTTAACCACTGCCACGTCTGATTTGCTAGGATTTTATTTACTGGTTTTGCATTTTTAATTTTCCATGTCTAAATGTGGTGTTAGTGTATAATTACCCCTTGTATTTACGTTCCTCCAGTTTTGAGATTCCAGTTACATTAGTTTCATAAGATGACTTAGGGAGGCTCCCGCCCTTTGGTTAGTTAGCTCTTCTGAGCCTCCACCGTTGCATCTGTGAAATGGGACAACACTTGCCGAGTGTGAGGAGAGCCCTGAGCCCAGCGCCTGACAATAGGCCAGGCTCCTTCCCAGGAGCGCCCGGCCCCAGCCCCGCGTGTGCCGGCTCCCGGGTGCCTACCAGGTCCCGGAGCCTCTGAAGCAGCTGCAGCACGTCCACCAGCTTCTCCTCCAGCAGGGCCAGCCGCACCCGCTCCGTCTCCACCATCTGCAGCTCCAGCCTCAGGTGCTCGCTCTCCTCCGCCCTGCGCTGCAGCTCTGCCTGTGGGGAGAGGGCGAGTGCTTCCCCACTGCACCCCCGTGCTGGGCCCCAGACCCTGGCCCGTGCTCAGAGGCCACAGGAAGCCGGAGCAGAAGTAGGGGAGCCAGGAGTGGAACCAGGCGCATGGATGTGGGAACTGGGTGTCCCCAGTGGTGTCTTTATCCCCTGTGCCATATGCCCATCCCCCGCCCCCCCCCCCCGGGTGGGGGGAGACACGTGTCTGTGCCTGGTGCTCGTTTGACGCGCTATACCTGTCAGCCGCCATCATTTTAAATGATTATGTAAGGAGCTGGCACTGCATGGACCCCTCATATGCACATAAACAGGACAAAATGAGCATTTCAGATGTAGGAACATAAAGCTGTCTTGTATCAAAATGGTAGCTTGCGAAAGTGCAGTGGGCTTGGGCTCCATGAAGTGGCTTTCAGCCTCACGGCACCTCTGGCTCCTGTGGAATAGAGAGGTTACCAAGGGACGAGGAGGAGACTGGCGGGAGGCTGTCCAGGGCCCTTACTGAGGTGTGCTTGTTCTGACCTGGATGGAGACCCCACCCCCAGGCTGGGCCAACTGCACTTCCTCCCTGAGAGGAGAGGGGGGGAGGCTCAGTCTTCCTCTGGGGTTCCTCACCTGGAAGCCCTGTGCTGTCTGCGGCCCAGCCTGCCCTTCCCGCACCACGTGGAGTAGGGGAAAGTGAGGCCAGCACTAGAGACACAGAGCAGACAGGCGGGGACAGTCTAGCGCGGGGTCCTGGATCCAGCTGTGCCTGAATCTCCTACAACCCCACCCTCAGCTCCACGCTCCAGTAAACTCCTGTTTCGCATTCTGAGATACCATCTGAGATGGGCTCTTTTGACTTGCAGCCCCGAGATTTCTCAGTAACTATAAATCAGGTGCGGGACCAAGATGCTGCCAGAGATGCCTGCGTCCTGTGTTGGCGCCTCTGGCTTTGAGTCCCTGCTCTGCTATGATGCGTCTGCCTGTGCATGCGCTCACACCCTGGGAGGCAGACCGGGTACTTGGATCCCTGGCACCCATGGAGCTCCTGGCTCCTGGCTTCAGCCTGTTCCAGCCCCAGCTGTTGTGGGCATTTGGAGGGGTAAACCAGTAGATAGACAACCTTTTCTTTTCTATTTCTGTCTTGGCCTTTCGAATAAATTTTTAAAAAGTTTTAAAAAATCAAAATCAAGGGAAATCACATCTGCGTCTTGGTTTCCTCGTCTGTGACCGGGACACAGGACTCGGCTGTGCTCCCAGGTCCCGGGGGCTCTACCAACCTCCTCCCTGGGTGTCCCCAGGGCCTTCCCGCCGCAGCCCTGGGTCCCCGGCCTGGCGACGTGGGCCTCCAGCTCCCCCGGGGTGCAGGTGCGGTCGGCAGCGCCCAGGTGGCTGCAGTAGGTCGTGAGCTTCTTGGCCGTCCGGTCATCACACCTGCAGCAGAGCAGAGCGTCAGGACGGGGGCGGGGGGTGGGGGTGGGTGGCGCTGCAGCCCCGCCTCCCAACGGCCTATCTCCTGAGACCAGAGCCAGCACGGCACCAGGCAGGGGACAGGGCAGGAGGGCCGCTGGGCTGTTTGATGGCTGTTTTCCTCAAAGTGTGCCTGGGGCTCAGAGACGCCAGGCGAGACCCCGGCATCCTGGCTCGTCCTTGCTCCACACTGGGGGCGTGATGAGGATTGGGCCAGTGAATGGAGCGGCCGGGGACAGTGTGCTGCATGGACACAGGGTCAGGGCACAGGCTGAGAAGGACACTGGGGTCTGAGAGCAGTGGTCAAGGGAGTGAGAGAGCAGTGACGGGCATTAGAGCCACCCCCAAGGTCATCTTGTTGGTCCTGCACGGGACAGGGGCGACCTTGTCTCATTCTGGCCAAGGGGACGGAGCCTTAGAGGGGCTGGGAGGTGACTAGACCTGGCTTGAACCCGCACAACGGACGAGTTGAAGCCCCATCACTGTTTGGAGGGGCCTAGGGCATGGCGTGGGTCCCACGCTCACCCACTGCCGCAGCTGGAGGGCCGAGCCAGCAGGGCCTCGGCCGCTGGGGGTCTCTGCATCTCCCGCCACTTCTCCTCCTCCTCCTCCTCCTCCTCTTCTTCGTCGGAGGCAGCCTGGCCCTCCACGGAGCGGAACAGCTGCTCGCCCACTGTTGGAGAAACACAGGGTGAGGGACACGGGACAGAGGGAGGGAGCCGGGCAGCCCCGGAATAAGGCGGTGACGGCAGAGGGCAGGGCCCCCGGGGCCTCTCCTCTCCTCTGGACGGCTGCTGCCCAGTCCCCGTGCATACTTCTGTAAGGCAAGGCCGCCCAGGAAGGCCAGGGCTGTGCCCGCCCCCACGTCACTGGTCCAACCGTGATGCTGGCTGGTCAGCGTTGCTCCCTGGGGTGGCACCAGTTTTCTCATTTTTGAAAGGCAGGGTGGAGAGAGAGAACATCCACCTGCTGGTTCACTGCCCAGATGGCTGCAGCTGCCAGAGCTGGGCCAGGCCTAAGCCTGGAGCCTGGAACTCCATTTGGGTCTCCCACATGGGTGCAGGGATCCACGCACCTGGGCCGTCTTCCACTGCTTTCCCAGGTACATTAGCAGGGAGCTGGATTGTTTTTTTTAAATTATTATTTATTTATTTATTTATTTGACAGGTAGAGTCATAGACAGTGAGAGAGAGAGAGAGACAGAGAGAAAAGTCTTCCTTCTGTTGGTTCACTCTCCAAATGACCGCTACGGCCAGCATTGCGCCAATCTGAAGCCAGGAGCCAGGTGCTTCTTCCTGGTCTCCCATGCAGGTGCAGGTGCCCAAGCACTTGGGTCATCCTCCAATGCCCTCCCAGGCACAGCAGAGAGCTGGACTGGAAAAGGAGCAACCTGGACTAGAAGCCCACTTGGGATTCCGGCGCCGCAGGCAGAGGATTAACCAAGTGAGCCATGGCACCGGCCCTGGGTGCTGGATTGGAAGTGGAGCAGCCAGGACTTGAACCGGTGCCCAGATGGGATAAGCCGGCGCTCTTAATGGGATGCTGGTGTTACAGGCAGCAGCTTAACTCGCTACGCTGCGATGCCAGCTCCGTGTTTCGCGACTTTTTGATCGTGTGAATGTGTTTCCAATACTGATCTTTTTTGTTCATCTTCTGGAAATTCCCTGGTGCTGTGCCTGTGTGTGTGGTTATCATTAATTTTTAAAGGTCTTTTTATTTCAAAGGTAGAGCAAAGAGAGAGAACTTCCATCCAGTGGTTGGCTCCCCAAATGCCCACATTAGCCAGGGCTGGCCCAGGCTGAAGCCAGGAGCCTGGAACCCTCACCAGGTCTCCCTGGAGGTGACAGGACCCCGAGGACTCGGTCATCATCTGAGGCGGGACTCGGCCCCAGGCGCTCTGCTATGGGGTGTGGGGTCCCGAGCTGCGGCTTAACCTGCTTGGCCCCGAAGCCCACCCCACATGTCTTTGCTTGTCCCAATCATAGCATCGCTCAGTTGTCCCGGGGGGGCAGGAGCTGGGTATTGAGTACGGCTGTCAGTGACGGAGTCACGGAACCTGTCCCCGGCAGAGCCAGCTGGGCACCTCCTGGTGGCGCCATGCCCGCCAGATCCTTGAGATCCCCGTTCCTAAGACAACACGCCCAGGAGGAGGGCCCGGGGGCCAGGAGGCCAGCCTGAGCAGTAAGTGGAGCAGCTTCCACGTGGAGGCCGAAGCAGACGGTCCCTGGGCGCGGGGCCGGGGTGCAGCCAGCACGCAGGGCCAAACCTTCGTCCAGGGCTCTGCTCCCGGAGCTGCTGTCCGACGACCAGGCTCCCCTTGGGGCAGCGTCTACGTCTCTGGTCCCGCCATCTTCAAAGTTGTCACTCCTGTCTCCTGGCTCTGGGCTGGCTCTTGGGGGTGTTGGGAGCTGGGGGCCTTCTGACCTGTAGACACAGCCAGAGAGACAAGGGTTAAGAAGACCAGGGGTGTGGCCCCACCTGCAGTCCTCACTCTGCTCAGGTGGGCTGTCTACCCAGGCGCTGTCCTGGTGGAGGCAGCCTCCCCCAGTACAGGAGGAGGTACCACATACTCCGGATCCAGCCTCTCTCAGGGCGAGGGCACAGGCAGGTAACTCAGTTTCAGCCAGCTGAGATTCAAGGTAAAAATCTTCTGAGGAACCAAGGGACCAGAGTTTTCATTCTTATAAAAAGAGGCCCAGGAAAGAAAACACCCCTTCCTTCCTGTCTTTGGACATTGTCATGTGAGGATGTGATGTTTGGAGCTGTAGCAGCCATCTTGTGTCCTTGAGGAAATGAAGGAATTACTGAGTTGAACAAGAACCCTGCCATCTTTTAGGGGCTGAGTTAACCACTTACTATAGATGAAATTTTAAAAATCCACATTTTCATCTACTTTTTGTTACATTCTACTCTTTGCCTTTGAAAATCCTGAACTGGAGCCTCTCCCCTCTCTGGGCTTCGGAGAACCTATTTTACCCCTGGGTCCTTCAATCCCTTCTTGATATTCCAAGGTCCTCATTTGAATATTCATTTGAATAGTTATGCACTTGCAGTTATGAGGTCGGGGAAGAGAGATCTGTCACAACAGGAAGATATTCACCAACGGACCGAACTCTTAGGAAACCAGTCTCACTCCCCAGCTTCCTCCTGATACCAGCACATGGCCTTGGTCCCCCTCTTCAGTCTTCTTCTTCTTATTATTTTTAAAAGACTTATTTATGTATTTGAAAGGCAGAGAGAGCGAGAGATCTTCCGTCTGCTGGTTCACTCCCCAAAGGCATGGCTGCGATGGGCCAGGCTGGCCAGGCTGAAGCCAGGCGCTCTATCTGTGTTTCCCACAGGGGTGGCAGGGGCCCCAGCTACTTGGGTCACCTTCCGCTGCCCTCCCAGGCACCTCGGCAGGGTGCCGGTACCAGAGCGAAGCAGCGGGGACTTGAACAGGTGCTCTGACACGGGATGCCGGGTCGCCAGTGGCAGCTTCACCCCCTGCGCCACAACACCAGCCCCTCAGAGTCCTGTCCTGCAGCCTCTCTGTAGACGGCACAGCCCAGCACAGCCCAGCACAACAGCAACCAACCAAGGCCTCAAGCATTTTCGCAAAGCAGACCTTCCTCCTGATTTAGCTGCACAATAAAACACCACAAAGGATGCTCTACCCCCGAGAGATGTGGCAAACACTGCTCCCAAAGCCGTGATCAGCCCGAGTCAGCCTACGTTGGGTCTAAGAGCCCCAGCGCCGTATTTCAGCCGTGAAGATTAATTTTGAAAAGGAATGAATGAATGGTTGATACTATTACCCGGTTTTAGTAAACAGGTAGCCCAGTCAACTCATTTTAATAAATCTTCGTGTTACATCTCACTCCCTGTGGATCCGTTTTAAGTGGATTCACTTACGGGGTTTCCAAGGATTGAGTCTAATTGGACAACAAGGACTCCAGTGCTCAGCTCCATGGTTGCTGGGTGGGCCTCTGCATGACCCGTTGTAAAGGTGGAAGCCACGCGGGACTGAGCAGGGCAGGACAGGAAGCCTGGTGTGGGCCCTTGGTGCTGGAGACCAGGACTGTCAGGTAGACTCAGTCCCCAGAGGGCTGTGGGAGCCAGGACAGCCCTCTGAGCCCAGCCGAGGACAGCTAGGGAGCTGCCAGGCAGCCATGCGGCACCCTTTAAGCCACAGGTGAGCCCGGACACAGCCCAAGGCTCCTCCTCAAACTAATCAGCATAATCCTTCCCAAGGCCACTGTGGCTGGACAATGCGGCACAGGGAGCCAGTGAGAAACAAGAAGTCATTGACTGGACTTCTGGGCACCAGAAGCTTCCTCCCTCCCTGCTGGCCAGAGCCCTGGGCCTGGGGTCAGGAACTGAGAGCCACTGGTGGCTCCCAGGGGACAACCTTGAGACACTGAGGTTATGGGTAGAGCCTAAGGGTGATGGGGTCCTTGGTAACGTCTGAGTTGCTGGGTCAGGCTTTGGCTACAGCCAGGGTCAACCTGCACGTTTTGTGATTTATGAGTCCATAATCTTTCCTCATGAAGTCCTGGGTTCAGGCTCCCCCGGGGCAAGCCGGGACTAGGGATGATGCTTAGCTGCGGCCAGAGTCAGACCCCTGAGTGGGGATTCTGGTTGCAAGGGATGACCTAGTGGCTAGAGCGCAGGTCCTTCTAGCTGAGGTCTAAGCTCGGAGCTGACGGTCCCGCCCTACCGCAGCCTGGAGAGGAGAAGACACAAGGATATGAGGTCACTGGGGCAGAGCGGATTGTACGGGGGCAGAGAGCAGAGCTGTCCTGTCTCGGGTGGGGTGGGGGGCGACGTCAGCCCACTGCTGGAAAAGTTTTCTCAGGGTGCTGAGTTCGGACAGGATTTGGCTCCCAAAATTAAAGACACTTCAGCCCTGAGGTCATGGGTTGGTGGTACCAGGAGGTGGGAGCGTAATCCAATCATGGTGTTTAGGAGGCGGGTCTAGTGGGAAGCCACGGGTCCCTGGGGATGCCTCGGAAGGGTGTTCTCCTAAGAGGGTCGGGTGTCAACATGGAGCTGGACCCAGCCCATGTCTGCTTCCTGGCTCGCCATGTGACCTTGCCTCTGCCACGGCCACTGCCAGTCTCCGGCCTCACCAGCTGCTGACCCGATGGAGCTTCTCTGACCTTGGGCTGTGAACTTCCAAAACCAGGAGCTAAAATCGGTCTGGTTCCTCCCTGAGTAGCTTGTGGGAGGTATTTTGTTAGAGAGACAAAACTGTGACTAATCCGCAAGGGTTGCAGACCAAGGATTACCTAATGCTGCTCCCACCCCCACCCGCAGTTATGTAAGGGCTTCCGCAGGGACCATGAGGTGCAGGGACGCAGTTTCCGAGCCCAGGCTGACTTGGGCACTCTGGATTTCCACACTCCCTACACCCCCCTGCATTTGCATCTTAGAAACCCTGCTGCAGCCTCCCCTGGCCCACGGAGACACGCAGACCCCTCAGGTCCCGCCTTCCACCTGGGGGATTCTGAAGGTACAAAGCAAAGACCGTTTGTTCAAGAGGGCCCGTGGGGCCGGCGCCGCGGCTCACTAGGCTAATCCTCCGCCTAGCGGTGCCGGCACACCGGGTTCTAGTCCCGGTCGGGGCACCGGATTCTGTCCCGGTTGCCCCTCTTCCAGGCCAGCCCTCTGCTGTGGCCAGGGAGTGCAGTGGAGGATGGCCCAGGTGCTTGGGCCCTGCACCCCATGGGAGACCAGGAAAAGCACCTGGCTCCTGGCTCCTGCCATCGGATCAGCGCGGTGTGCCGGCCGCAGCGCGCCGGCCGCGGCGGCCATTGGAGGGTGAACCAACGGCAAAGGAAGATCTTTCTCTCTGTCTCTCTCTCTCACTGTCCACTCTGCCTGTCAAAAAAAAAAAAAAAAAAAAAGAGGGCCCGTGGGCAGGGAGAAGTCCTCTAGCGCCTGCATCCTCCCTGCCCCTGTCTCTGCCCCACCCCTACTGAAGGTTCGCAGGCAGCTCTCAGGTGCTCCAGCCTCCCTCTGGCTGATGGAAGAAACTCTGAGGTCCTGAGCACCATGCTCGGTCCTTCTGGTCTGAGCTGGTCCATCCCTGCAGCCTCTTGCCTGGCCGTGAACCCCGCGCACAGAGCAGCCCTTGAACTTCCTGTGCTCTGCCCCGGGGGCCTCTGCATGTGATCAGAACCACAGCCAAGGCCCACGGAGAGCACTGTGTGTGCCACATGTGGTCCTGAGTGTGGGGTCTCATCTAGTGACCAAGTCCTAGACCACGCAGACCCCCTGCCTGCAATGTGCGTGCCCCCTTCGCCTCCCCGCCTTGACACAAATGCCACTGGCTCAGACTTTACTGCTCCTTCGCCTGTGGTGGGGCATGACTTGCCTCCCCCCTCAGACTGGCATTTCCTGGAGGGTGTTCAGTTCAGGAACTGAGTGAACGAACGAGGGAGTGAAAGAATGAGTGACGTATTCGGCAATTTAGGGGAGAAGCAGCAAGACAGGGCAGGCCTGGGCCAGGCCTGGAGCCCACGTAGGGGCTCGGCTTTCTCTCCTTCCCGCCTCATGTTGAAAGGTGCAGTTTGGTCCCTGTGTAATGGCGTTGAGAGGAATTAATGATGCTCTCGGCTCCAGCAGGATGAATTCTCTTGGCAGTGAGTTCTTGCTCTCCTGGGTTAGCCATGGCATGTGCAGGCTGCAGGGGGAGGCCCTGCCCGGTGTGTGGCGGCTTCTGAGTGTGCCTGAGCGCCTCTGTTTTTCCACCACACTGAGGTCCATCACAAGGCTGTCACCACAGCCGAGCAGGTGCTGGCCCCACACTCTGTCGGGCCTGCCAGCCTCCATCACCATGAGCCCAGATAAACCTCTCTTCTCCATAAGTCTCCCAGGCGAAGGTACTCTGTGATGGCACAGAGAGCAGACTAAGGCAGGAGGCGCCCCAAGTTCTTCCTGTCTCTTTCTGCTCTGAGATTGTTCCAGAAAACAGAGAGGAAGGAGCACTGGATATGGACCTGCAAGACCTGCGTTGAGTCCCAGCTCCAGTCAGCCTGTTTGTGGGCAGCCTTGGGGAGGGGAGCCCGACGGGAGACGGTGAGCCTCTCCCCAGCAGCAGGTGTCTTTGCTCCTCGGTCCTTTTACTGACTAATGGGTGCCGCTTTTAGTAGTAAACACTAGAAGCAGTGGTGAGAAGCCGGCGTCTCCTGCCCCAGAAAACATCCCTCATTAATTCAGTAACCGGAAGCCTGCAGCCTGCAGCTGTCCCCAGGCTTGGAGTTCCTGGTAGCAAACCAGCGTAGTGGAACTTACTAGGTAAACATCCCAAAACCTAATTCAGGAGCATGCTTTTCTAAGAAATAGCTGGGTTGCAGCCGATCACAAACAGCCAAGTGTTTTCTGTTTCCTGTTGCTGTAACAGAATACCCGAGAGGGGGTGATTGTAAAGGGAGCTTCAC